TGTTTCTTTATTTCTATTCTTTATTGGCTGAGACATCATTCTCCTGGCTTCCTTTAGCTCTTTGTTCATGATTTCTTCTAGCTTTTTGACTCTATTTAAGACAGTTGATTTAAAGTAAGTCCAGTGGCTAAGCTCCCTTATTTCTTTTCTCCTGTGAATGGGTCATACTTTCTTGTTTCTTTGCGTGCCTCATGATATTTTTTGTTGAAAATTGGACAATTTGAATATTATCATATGGCAACTCTGGAAATCAGCTTAACTCTTCCCTTCAGCGTTCGTTGTTGCTGCTTGTTGTGGGGTGTTGTTGTTTGTTTAGTGACTTTTCTAAACTACTTTTGTGAAGTCTGTATTACTTGTCATGTATGGCCACTGAAGTCCCTGTTCTGTTAGCTTAGTGGTCAGCTAGTGACTTGACAGAGATTTCCTTAAATGCCCGGGGCAGGGGGAGGTGTGGAATAAAACTCTCCCACTTTGCAGAATGGCTCTTTGTCGCAGCTGTCTTTCAACACTTAGGCAGGCTGTTTTCAGTTCTGCTCTAGCCTTCAATTCCTGCTTTTGCTGAGCCTCAAGTTCAGACAGAGGTGAAAGTTTAGGGTTTTCTTTAGTCTTCTCTGAACACGCATCCAGTCTTTGTCATGTGTGTAGCCTTCTAGATTCCCTGGTACACATAGAAGCTCTTTCAATCCCATATTCCCCCAAATATTTTCTTCCCCAGCTACTTCCCTCCCAAGCCGTTCAGGGTATATATTGCGTGCCTTGGCTGGTATTCTTTGCCTTGACTAGCTGAGGCTAATACATTTGACTTTAAATGCTTTCAAACATTACCTGGGAAGCCACTTCTGCTCTGGAGAAGCGCCAGGAAAAGTGAAACAAAAGCAAGTCCTTGAGCTGTCCCTTCAGGGAGCCACCAGCTAGGTTTACACACAACCACAATTATTTAAGGGTAAGATCTGGATTGTTCCTTCTGATACCAACAACCTGCAGCAGAAATATGGGCTGTTGCCTTCGAGGCAACCACTGAGCTGGGGAATTGGCAATGGTAAGCGGGTTAGTTAAAATGTCACAGTGCTCTTTTACCGAAATATAGCATTTTCTTTCATCATTAAGCATTCTCCTGTTTGTTTTAAATTTTATGTTAGATTCCAGACTTCTGAAAAAGTTGATTCTGTCAGTGTTTGCCAGCTTATTTGTTGCTTTTGTGGAGGGATGGCATTTTGAAGTTCTCTACTCTGCCATTTTAGGTGGTATCTCCAACTGCTTCTTGGCCTGCCTATAGCCTCTGATGTCATTTATCTATTTTATTTTATTTTATTTTATTTTATTTTATTTTATTTTATTTTAGGGGGTAGGTAATTAGGTTTACTTATTCATTTGTTTATTTGGAGGAGGTACTGGAGATTGGACCCAGGACCTCATGCATGCTAAGCATGCACTCTACCATTTGATCTATACCCTCCCCACTCTGATATCATTTTAAGTCTAGCCTAGCTCCTGGTCTCTGAACCACCTGACTTCTGACATTTCCAGTTTCTTCCAGATCCCTGTACAAGCCTTACTTCATCCTTGGCCTTTGAGGACCTTGGTTAATTTCTGGCCTCTGGCTCTGTCCCTTCCCTTAATCACAAGCTTTTCCCCCACCTTCTTCACCCCTCCATGAATCTCACTCCAAACTCTGACCCTGTCTGTGACCCCCATCTCTCTCTGTCTCTCCAGGGTTCCAATTCCGTGGCCTCAGCTCTTGGGGCCTGTTTGTTGCTACGAGTGCTGGCGCGCCTGGAGACTGAGGCTGAGGAGGTAGCACGGAGGAAGGATCTGGCTGCCAAGTTTGAGGGGCTGGGTGTTGGTGCGTGGGGCATGGGTGCCTAGGGTGGGGCAAGGGAGCTACCATAAAGGGGGTTGTAAATCTTCCCATTCCTCTTCTCATAACCCTGCCCCCACCCCTCAGTCCCCTCATCTTTTCCCTCACACTGTGTTCCCGCTCCTTTCCCTCCCTCTCATATAAATCTCCCACACCTAGACCTCTTTGGACAGTGCTACCGCAGCAGTGAGAACCGGGCCGCTCGCCTGCTCCTTCGGCGCTGCCCGCTCTGGGGCGATTCCACCTGCCTCCAGCTTGCCACGCAGGCTGATGCCCGTGCCTTCTTTGCCCAGGACGGAGTACAGGTGAGCATCTGAGACACCAACATCCCAAATGCTTCTCAGCTGGACTCCGGGAAGTATGGAGGCTAAGCCCTTGCCATGATGGGCGGTCCATGGTCTTGACCAGCCCCTCCCCTGGAGACCACTCCTCCTCCAGAAATTCTCAGCCCTCTCCCAGAGATGTTGCTTTTCCCATAAAAGCCCCACCCACTACCACAGGAAAGCCAACCTTCCCGCAGCAAAGCTCACCCTCCTAAGAAGTTCTATTCCAGATATGGGGGGAGATACGGCTCCGTGGTAGAGCGCATGAGTGGAATGCGTGACATCCTGGTTCAATCCCCAGTACCTCCATTAAATAAATAAATAACTAAAGTTAATTACCTCCTCCCTAAAAGAAAACTGCAGGAAAAAAAACAAACGATACAGATGTAGGAATTCCTGGGAACTTTAGTAGGAGTCCCATCTCTTACACAGGAAGTCCTTTCCGCTTTTTTAAGAGGTCCCCATTTCCAGAGTTCAACAATTAGAATGACGTCACTGGACAATTACCTAGTGTTTTGGATATAGACAAACTCTAGTTTAGGAAATCCTACCCTTCCTATAGGAAATCCTTTCCTTTGGGAAGCCCTGCTTACCCACAGTCTTTCCCATCCTTCAAGCCTTGACATTTTGAAAACTCTCTCAATCTCCTTAATCTGAACCTGACAGGGGCTCAGAGAGTCCCACCCTCAGTACAAGTTTGCCCACTGAGCAGGAAGTCTCATCTTCACTTGGAATGATTTGTCTGGCCCTTCAAATAATTACCCAGAGTCCTTTGCTTCGAATGGTGGTTAAACTTATGGATTCCAGCTTTTGCCCCTTCCATGACCTCTTTGTGCCTCATCTGTGAAAAGGGAGAAAATGCTAGTACCTGTCCTCCTGGGGGGTGTGGTGAGGGCTAACTGAAGTAATCTACGTAAAGTCGTAAAGTGCTTAGCCCAGTATCTGGTATATTGTGTTAACAAATGTAGGCTGCTAAACTCTACTAACTAAAACCTGGGACAGGTGGCATTTGCCTTTGACCACTTTTCCCTCACCCCTGATAGTTATGGTCCCCACAGTGAGCACTGCTCTGTGCTCAGGAGCTGTGACCTGATCCTTGCCTGGGGTCTCCGGGAGGGGCTGTGGGGAGGTTCAGGCTCCTAATCTTCCCCGCACCCCACAGTCTCTGCTGACACAGAAGTGGTGGGGGGAGATGGACAGCACCACCCCCATTTGGGCCCTGGTTCTCGCCTTCTTTTGCCCCCCACTCATCTACACCAACCTCATCACCTTCAGGTCAGTCCCCCGGGTTTAGATTGGCGGGAGGGAGGGTGATCAGTTTCTCCTTCCTCCTCAGTTCTGACCCCCTTTCTGCTTGGTCTGTCTAATGGTTCCCTTCTTTGTTCATTCTCTTCCCCTCCCCTCACTGGGGGTGTGTTTTGGGAGGTGAGCTTTTGGGGGGCTCTCTTCAGTGTCTCTCAGGGCAATTCCTCTGCTCTCTGGCCACAGCTTTGCTGGGAGGTCCCTTTGGGGTGACTCCGGGTGGGGGGTCTCCTTTCCTTCCCTGCCATGTCTCTGGGTGACTAAGTTTGGGTCTCTCTGGAGAATTCCTCTCCCACCCTCACTTCCTGTTTCTCACTGTGTATGTGCCTCCCTGCCAGGAAGTCAGATGAGGAGCCCACGCAGAAGGACCTGGCATTTGACGTGGATAAAAGCGTCAACGGGGAAGGGCCTGTCGAGTGAGTGGAGCACCAGGTGCTGGAGGGGAGACGTGGGGCTTCAGGAGATGGTGGTTTCATGAAGCCACTGGAATTCTGAGGAAGTCTCGCAAATGCCAAGCTCAAGGCTTAGTTCAGGGATTGGGGTTCATCACTGGAAATCATATTGCCTGCTACGTGTACTTCCACCTTGACAGAGCAAGTGGGACTGGGTGAATCTGGTTCATTTAGGGATCCTTTGCCTATTTTGTTTTCTTACTCCAGGGTCTTTGCGCGTAATCTCTGTGCTGTGGTACCCTTGGAGGTATCTTCAAAATCAGTCCTAAGCAAGTGAAATAGAATATTTATCAATCTGATAATTCTGCAGAGTGGAGGCGCTGAGGGATTTAGCTCTAAGTCAGGCAGACCTAGTTTCAAATCCTGACTTTGACTTTGGAAGTGGCTTCACCCCTGAACCTCAGCTTTCTTTTCTGCAAAGAGAAGGTTGTGCCTGTGGTAGTCAGGTTAGGTAGGGTAACACTGCAATAACAAACATCCGAAACTCTCAGTGACTGGCAACAACAAGGATTTGGTCTCACTCACGCTCCATTTCTTGGTTGTCTGTGGCTCTGTTCCACGTGGTCTGCACTTTGGGACAAGCAAACACCTCCCAGCTGAGATGTTGCTGGTCTCACGGTAGATGGAAAAGAGACAGTACCAACCAGGTACTGGTGCTTGAAGCCTCCATGTGGAAGTGACACATGTCACTTTTGCCCACATTTCATTGGCAAAAGCAAGTCACGCGGTAATCCTTTAGCTCCTAATTCTCCCACTAGGAGGGAACCAAAATATTTGGTCCACAGCAATACAATGTACCACAATGCCTGATGGAGGGGTTGGAAGGATTCAAGGAGCTAATATATATAAAATGCGGATATCATAGTGCCCAGCACAAAGCAAATGCTCAATTAATGGGGACTATAATTACTTCTGCTATTATTAATATACTTATTTATTTTGTTGAATGGTGTGTGTGTGTGTGTGTGTGTGTAGGTATAAGGGTCTAAATCTATGGTAACAGGGAAACAGAAGAAGAGGCCCACATTTATAGCCATCTTTGCACCTTCCATCTCTACTTTAGCCACATAAATAGGACAAGGGAAGAACCTTGGCCCCAATATTGCAGAAGGAAAAATGTCCTGGTAACTGTTAGAAGCATAATCAGACTGCCAGCAGTCTGTAAACCCACTGCATACTTCGTGAAACAATTCAAATTTAAATATATGCGTATACATATATTTCTGAGACATTGCACAAAGGATACAAAATATTTGTCAAGATAAGAGGAGAAAACTAAGGGAAAAAAATTTGAACAGCTGAAAAAAATTAGACGCAAGGCCCCAGTGTCAGGGTCAATAATGGTGTCCTTGCCTGGTGAGTTCTCAACTTGTGCACCATAGGATGCTGATGACAATAGCTGATGTCACAGAACACTTACAGCAGGCAGCCAGTGTGCTAAATCCTTTTGAAAATCAGCTCATTTAATTCTCTCAACAACCCTATGCCATAGGGTCTGTAATTATCCCTATTTTACTGCTGAAATAACAGAGGCATTAATTCACCCACCTCAGATCATGTGATTGGTCAGTGGTGGAGCTGGGATTTGAACCCAGATCGTCCTGTTCCTGAATCTGTGCACTAAAGCCACTGTGGAGTGCCACCTCTATGGAGAACTTTATAAAAGGACAGATTCCTGGATGCTCCCCACTGCAGGGAGGCCTCTGAAATCTGTGCGTGGCCTGGCTAGGGGTGATTCGGGATGGCGGATGTTAGGCCAGAGTCTGACTCACCACACATTTGTGTTATCAGGCTCCCACGGAGGGTGCAATGCAAAATACCCGGTCTGTTTTCTCCTGTTATTAGGGACTTGTTCTCTCTGTATCTCTCTTTCTTTAGCTTTTCTGTTCTTTCTGCTTATTTTCTGTAGAACAACTTTAGTGAGATAAAATTCACATACCATTCAGTTCACCCATTTAAGGTGTTCAATGCTCAATGGGTTTTTTAGTAAGTTCAGCGTTTTGAAATCATCATCAAAATTAATTTTAAAACATTTTCATCACTGCAACAAGAAACCATGTACCCATAAATGGTCATTCCCCACTCCTCCCACCCCTCCGGCCCCAGGCAACCACTAATTTACTTCCTGTCCCTACCGATTTTGCCTATTCTAGACATTTCGTATAAGTGGAGTCGTACACTATGTGGTCTTCTATGACTGGCTTTGTTAACTTAGCATCATGTTTTCAAGATTTATCCACTTTGTAGCATTTATCAGTGTTTCTTTCATTTTTATTGCTGAATTATATTCCATTGTCTGGATAGACCACATTTTGTCGATCTATTTATTAGTTGATGGACTTTGGGTTTGTTTCCACTTTTGAGTTTTCTTTCTGCTTGGTTTATAAAGAGAAGATGCCTCTCCAAGCCAGTTTGCTTTTCCTGCTAGCTTTCAGAATGTATTATTTTTAGTGTTATTCATTTTGCCGTTTCTGATCTGAGGTCAGAGTTAAGAGTCACGATGAAATTGGGACAGAGGAGCAGAACTCAGGTGAGAAGGGTCAGAGATATGAGTGGACTAGGAAGCTAAATATGGCTGTACAGTTGAAAATCAGATATAGGGAAGGAAGAGTTATCTGAGAAATCTGGATAATCTGGTATCAGAATTTGTAGGTCAGAAGTTAATTTTCAGGGATAGTGTTGTCAAACCTGGGGAACCAAGGCCATGAAAGTGAGGGGGTCATAGGGCATATTTGAAGGTCAGAGGTCAGATAGATGGTCCAAAGTCAGACATAGAGACTCAGAGGTTGTGAAGGGGAAAGAAGAGGGACTTGGAGACAAAAGTTGGATTAGAGTCAGAGGTCAGCCCTGGGGCCAGAAGGGTGGAGGAAGTCAGAGGTGGACGGTCAGCAGTCTTGATGGTAGGAGATGTCAGAGGTCAGCAGTTAGATACAGAGGTCAAAAGTCAAGGAGATGGTAGACATCAGGCTCCATTCTGGCTCGAGCAGGGTCGGAAGTCATGAAGGTGGGGAATGCTTTGAAAGGAGGATAAGGAGGATGTGAAAGGTTAGAGGTCATCGTCATGGTGAAGGTCAGGTGCAGTGGTCAGGTTGAACCCTCCTCCCTTCTATCTCTCTCTTTTCCCCACAGGCCAGCAGACCCCCCTGAGAAGATGCCCTTAGGGGTGCTGAGGCCGCCACGCCACAGGGGCTGCTGCGGGGGGTGCCCCCCGCGCCTGCGCCGCTGGCCCCAGTTCTGGGGGGCGCCAGTGACAGCCTTCATGGGCAACGTGGTCACCTACCTCCTCTTCCTGCTGCTCTTCGCCCACGTGCTGCTCATCGACTTCCAGCCCGAGCTGCCCGGCGGCCCGGAGCTGCTGCTCTACTTCTGGGCCTTCACCCTGCTCTGCGAGGAGTTCCGCCAGGGCCTGGGGGGCGGCCTGGGCAGCCTGGCGGGGGGGGGCCCCGGGGCCGACTCCCACCAGGCCTCCCTGAGCCGCCGGCTGCACCTCTACCTCTCCGACACCTGGAACCAGTGCGACCTGGTGGCCCTCACCTGCTTCCTCCTGGGCGTGGGCTGCCGGTGAGTGCCCGGTGACCTTCCACCCCGACCCAGGCGACCTCTGACCCTTCTCTCCTGGGGCAGGATGGGGGTGGGGGCATAGGGGGTGTGTCTCAACTCTTGGCTCCCCCGCTTCTTAAAACTGAAGTGTAGTTGATGTACAATATTATCTAAGTTACAGGTGTACGGTACCGTGATTCACAATTTAAAAATAACTGTGCTTATTCTTAAACAACAAACAAAAACCCCTTCTTGATTGCAAGCACTGCATAAAGATGGTCTAGAAGCAGTTTGCTCACACACGGCTTTGGAGGTGACAGGTTAAAGTGAGAACCCCCACTGCTATTTATTTTAGACCTGAATGTCACCAGATATTTCTCTGGCCCCCAACTTGGCCCAGCGGCTGCACCCTCATCTGGCTCCCAGGCACTAGGCCACACAGTGGGCCTCACCCTCCCCTCCTGCCTCCTCTTCCACCACAGCCTGAGGTCCCAGGCCCTGTCCTCCTGCCCCCTGCCTCTCTCTGTCCCATCCCTGCCTCCACCTCCAAGCCTGCCTCTCCCACCTGGACCTCAACCCCAGCCTCCTGGACTCCACTCTCTTCTCTCCAGCCCCTCCCCCACAGGGCCCACAAAGGTCTTTGTACACCCAGAGCTGGCCTGTCCTTCTCCACTTCTTGGGGCTCCACTGGGCCTCTGGACAGAGCCCCAGCCCCTGGACCTGGTCTGGGTCTGCCCTTCTCTACAGGGCTGTCTCCCAGTTTCTTTCTCTTTTCTTCGTCTACACTGCGTCTTCTCTGAGACCTACCTGCAGTTCCTTCATCACAAGGACAGTGACTTTGACCTTGAGCCTAGGCATTTTGAATCTGTTTAGTTATAAAATTGTAAACTCAGAATTTTACCAGTACTGACAAATTCTTACCAAGGAAATATTTTCCAGTTACTTTAAACTTCCTTGATCAGTTTTATATTGCAGGGCAGTGACACTACCTTCAGTTTTTTTCATTTTCAGTTTCTGAAATTATTTCAACTTGGTTAGTTATTGGGGTTAAGTTTTTACAACAAATAGTTGATTCATTGTTCGTGTTTTTGTCCATATCAAATTTTGCCAAAATCTGGTGTTTGTGCATTTTACTCTGTGGTTTTTATTTCTTCCATGTCCAGTTTTCCTGGGTCAAATTTTGTAGAGTTAAATTTCATTAGGGAGGCCTGAATGTTCTGTCAACTTTTTACTCCATAAAAACCTTGACTGTTTCTACTTATTTCTTAGCTAATTTGTAAAAAACAAATTGCGAGGAGTTACCCTCAAATATTTTCTGTTGCCTAGTTTGGGCTATATTATAATATCCATTTCTTCCATAGTTTCTAGATCATACTGTGTGGTACCCAGAGAGAGGGCAAAGGGCAAGTCAAAATGTCCTTGGGGATAAATTGTGTTGTCTTTGGGTCTTGGCACATGCTGTTCCCCTTTCCTAAAACACTTTTCCCTCCTCTCCTTGGCCAAGCCAACTCCCACACATCTTTTAGGCCTCAGCTTTGCTGTCTCTGCCTCTGGAAGCCTTCCCTTCTCCTTCCCACACTCTGGGTCCCTCCTTTGTTTTCCCGTAACATCCTGAGAGCCCCCCAAGTAGTGCTCTGACCATGGTTCATGCTGTCTTTCTCCTCACACAAGATTATAAACTTCTCAAGCCACATCTATCTTGTTTCCCAGCAACTTAATACATCTTTGAATATAGTCTGGTCCCAAAGACATGCATAAGTGTGTCCTTATTGAATGAGATTATGTTCAAATGAAGAAGAGCATAGAACAGAAACGGATTATTTCCCTCAGCCATTTCAAGCTTCCTCCTTTTCTCAGCAGTTACCTCCATCAACAGTTTGGTGCACATCCTGCCTGTTCTTTTTCTGTGCACTTACAAAGATAGATACACATACTTCTTTTGTACACAGATAATATTATATTTTATGTATTATTATGCAACCTCTTCTTTTTCTCTGTAATATGTCCTGACATTCCTTCCATGTCAGTATTTGCAAATATACCTTATTCTTTAAAAATGCTACATCAGATTCCTGAAGAAGGGGTGTCAGTCATTGTTGGGTAAAGATCAGACAAGACAGACTAATCCTTGCCAGACTTAATGAATGAATGAATTCTTTTCATAAGGCAATGGGACAAAATTTCTGAACTTCAAGGGATAGGAATCAGGCCAAAAGCTTCTCTACAAAGTCTTTTTCATTTCCTACTTAAGATAACATGAGCTTATAATCAAATATTAGCTGCCTTGGGTTCAGTACTCTGATGATGAAGGGTTTTTTTTCCTTCTTTTTTAAAAAAATAAAGTCCTAGCTGTTAGGATGCTGCTCCTTTGAGGAGAGCAGACAAAGAGCTTTGTGGACATAACCTATTGTAAATATTTACAGGGGACAAAAGGACCTGACACCTCCTTCTATAATCTGGATGGGTGACAGCAAAGACTAGCTGGTCTTTTCTCAGCTGACACACTGAGATGCATGCCTCCTCTATGCTGTGTTTAGAAAACAGTACAAAGTAATTCGACCTGAATAATTTATTCAAACAGCAAGATAAGAATGTTTTGCAGAACACTGTGCTGCTTTCTCTTGTATTTTGTAAAAGGCATCTTTTGTGAGGAAAGGGCTCAGGCCATGTCTACCATGATTTAGGAATACCTATGATACTTCAGACATATTGCCAAGCTCACTGTTTTCTAGGTGGGGGAAGAATTTTTACATGGGAAAAAAATCCAAAGATCTCGGGTTATAAGGGAGAAATTGCCAGTGTCTCCAGAATTGAATGGATGAATCATTTTATTTCGCCGATCCCTTCTGGGTGTTCATTTCAATTGCTTCCATTACTTTATTATTCCAAAGTAATAAAAATTTACATCCAACTTGTACACTTTGTAGGTCAAGGGGTGTATGTAATCTTGATGTGGATCGATTTCCTTCTATTATAGCTTCTTCTGGTTACACACTCACCATCAGGGTAAGACAGTGCCCCCTTGAGGACATGCTTGACAATACCTGATATTTTCCATCTTGAACATTTTTGTAGTGCTCAATTGAAACTTTACAATTTTTTTTTTTTGCCAATCTGATGGGTAAAAATGACCTCTCCTTGTTTTAATTCATGCATCCCTGACTACTAGTTGGGTAAGTTGGGCATCTTTCATATCTAATAGCCACATGTACTCTGTCGAATGTCTTTTCATATCCTTTGCCCCAGTTTTTACATTTATTGTGTTCATTGATCTCTTGCATGTATATGTTTTGGTAGGTACTCTCCTTACACTCTGGGTCCTAATCCTTGGCGGTTTTGTTCTAAACATCATCTCAAAGTTTGCAGCTTGTCTTTTCACTTTTGTACGTTATCTTAAAACAGTCTTTTAACTTTTCATTTTGAAAAAACCTGAGACTTATTTTTTAAATGTTGCAAAAACAGCACAAAGAATTTCTGAACACCTTTCATCCATGTCCCCCAAATGTTAATCTCTTACATGATCAAAACCCAGGCATTTTATTTAAATTTCATCCGTCGTCCACCGATGCCCTTTTCCTATATCAGGAACTGGTCCAGGATTCCATGTTGCCTTTGGTTGTCACATCTAATTGTTTTTAATGTGGTACAGTTTTTCAGCCTTTCTTTGATCTTAAACACAGCTTTTATTATCTTAACCGTTTTATACAGCCCAGACCAATTATTTTGTAGAACTTGCCTCTATTGAGGTTTGTCTGGTGTTCCCTCATGATCAAATTCAGGCTATGCATTTTTGGCAGAAAATTTGACTGTTCTCCGTCCATTATATTATCCTATAATTCATGAAAGTTTTATATCTCAAAGTAGTCAAATTATGCAGTCTTTTTCTCTATTGTGATTTTTGTGTCTTGTTTATAAGACTTTTTGTCTTATATGACATTTATCATATCTCAAGCTCATAAAGAAATTCTGTATTTTCTTCCTAAGATTTTAATGCTTTGCCTTTTACTCTAGGTTTTTAATCCATTCAGTTTAAGTACATGATGATGTAAAATAGGGATATCATTTTAACTTTCCCCTTAGGGATTGCCGATGTTACTGGTCATTTCACCTTCCTCTGTGAATTGTGTTATTCTTCATCCTCTTTCCTGTTAGGCCGTTTGTCTTCTGCTTATGGGTTTGCTGGGATTCTCTATATTTTGCCTTTTATAGTTGGACAGATATTCCCGCAGTTTCCCCCCAACCTGATTCTTACAGGGACCTCCTGGCTTTTTGCTAAGGCCATGATTCATGCAGCCATTATTTAACGGGAGGGGTGCCCTGCGCGGCCCCGCTGGGCACTGTCACGGTGCCAGAATTCAAATAAATCGCGGTGGATGGGTGGGTCCCAGTTCTGGCCCTGGGGAGGCCACATGCTCACAGTCAAGAACTGGTTTTGGGAAGAGTTGGGGTTTTCCTTTGCACCCTGTGATCGTTTAGTGACCCCTGCTGCGTGTTGTCTCCCCACACCCCAGGCTGTCCCCAGGCCTGTATGACCTTGGCCGCACTGTCCTCTGCCTCGACTTCATGATCTTCACGCTGAGGCTGCTGCATATCTTCACAGTCAACAAACAGCTGGGGCCCAAGATCGTTATCGTGAACAAGATGGTGAGGGTGGGATGGGGCTGGTGTGGGCGTGGCCAGAGAGGGAAGGGGCGGGGCCAGGGAAGTGCTGGGAACTTGCAGGTGCAGAGTCAGGGTGGAGGCGGGGCTTCAGAGGCAAGGGCGGGGCCAGAGTAAGGGAGGGCGGAGTCAGGCTTGATCTCATTTTCCTCTTCTGCAGATGAAGGATGTGTTCTTCTTCCTCTTCTTCCTCTGCGTGTGGCTCGTTGCCTACGGGGTGGCTACGGAGGGGCTCCTCAGGCCCCGTGACCGTAGCCTCCCGGGCATCCTGCGCCGCGTCTTCTATCGGCCCTACCTGCAGATCTTTGGGCAGATCCCCCAGGAGGACATGGACGGTAAGCAGGGATGAGAGGGCCTGAATGCCCCCCTGAGAGGGATTAGTGCCCCCCCACCCCGTCTCTGGGTCTCCGACCCCTCCTCTGTCTCTTTAGGTCCCTTCCCTCCTCCTTCTGGGATTCCGGCTCCCTCTCGCTGGGTCTCTCTCCCACACTCCTCTGCATTTCTGTCTTCCTTCCTTCGAGAGACAGAGACGTCTCTCGGGCCACATCTCTGAGTGTCTTCCTCCACAGTGGCCCTCATGGATCACGGCAACTGTTCGTCGGAGCAGGGCTTATGGGGGCTCCCCCAAGGGCGCCAGGCAGGCACCTGCGTCTCGCTTTATGCTAACTGGCTAGTGGTACTCCTCCTTGTCATCTTCCTGCTTGTGGCCAACATCCTGCTGCTCAATTTGCTCATCGCAATGTTCAGGTGAGTCCCCACTGTCCTCTGCTCTGACCTTCCCCACATGACCCTTCACCCTGATATGACTCTTGAGCCCAGCTTGACCCTTGACCCCAGCATGACTCTTGATTCCAGTCTAAGCAATTCTATTTTTAGCCCTTGAACTCTGATTTAAATTTAGGCTGGCTTGTCCCCAAACTCAGCCAGAGTCTGCTGTGGACCTGGACTTTGGACTCTGATCCTCTCTCTGAGCCCAGGCTGAAGATTAATTTTTTTAAAAAGTGTGGCAAATATATATATAACATAAAAATTACTATTTTTGCCGTTTTAAGTGTATAGTTCCATGGCATTAACTGCATTTATGTTATATAGCCATCACCACTATTTCCAAAACATTTTCATCACGCCAAAGTATGTACTCATTGGAAGCAATAACTCCCCATTTTCCCCTCCTGCCCAGAGTCCCTGGTAACCTCAAAGCTGCTTTCTGTCTCTATGAATCTGCCTATTGTAGATGATTCATACAGGTGAAATCATACAATATTTGTCTTTTTGTGTCTAGCTTATTTTACTTAGCATAATGTTTTCATTATTCCTTTTTATGGCTGAATTATACTCCATATTCCAGATATTGTATTTATATAAGACATTCTGTTGATCCATTCATCTGTTGATGGAAACTTGGGTTGTTTCCATCTTTTGGCTATTGTGAATAACGCCACAGTGAACACTGGTGTTCACGAAGCTGTTGGAGTCTCAGTTTTTATTTCTTTGGGGGTATATTTCTAGAATAGAATGCTGGATCCTATGGTAATTCTATGTTTAGCGTTGTGAGGAAGCACCATACTGTTTTCTTCAGCAGCTGCACCATTTTACAGTTCTATTCACAGTATATGAGGGTTACAATTTCTCCACATCCTTGCTAACAGTTGTTACATTTCTTAATAAAAGATTAGTGGGCATGCACTGGTTATTTCATTGTAGATTTGATGTGCATTTTCCTAAGGACTAATGATGTTGAGCATCTTTCCATGTGCTTATTGTCCATTTGTACATTTTTGGAGAAATGTCTATTCAAATCTTTTGTCCATTTAAAAAGCTGGGTGGTTTGTCTTTTGTTGTTGAAGAGTAGCGGTTCTTTATATATTCTGGATATTAAAGTCCTATCACATATATAATTTGCAAATATTTTCTCCCATTCTGTTGGTTGTCTTTTCCTTTTCTTGATAATAGCCTTTGATGCACAAAAGTTTTAAATTTTGATGAAGTTCAATTTATTTACTTTTTTCTTCTGTTGCTTGTACTTTTGGTGTCATATCTAGGGACCTATTGCCAAACTCAAGGTCATGAAGATTTACTCCTATGTTTTATGACTTTAGCTCTTATATTCAGGTCATTGGTTCATTGACTTAATTTTTATATATTGGTGTGTGGCAGGGGTCCAACTTCATTCTTCTTGCATGTGGAAATCCAGTTGTTTCAGGCCTATTTCTTCAAGAGACTGTTTTTCCCCCCAGTGAATGGACTTGGAATCCTTGTTAAACATCACTTGGCCATTGTATTGTCTCACAGTTTAGAAGTCCCAAATCAAGGTATGGACAGAGTTGGTTCCTTCTGCGGGCTGTGAGGGAGAATTTGTTCCACACTTATCTCTTAGCTTCTGGTGGATTTCTGGCAATCTTTGGCTGATAGATGCATCTTTGTAATCTCTGCCTTCAGTTTCACATGATGTTCTCTCTGTGTGCATATCTGTGTCAAAATGTCCCATTTTTATCAAGACATCAGTTATATTGGGTTAGGGATCAACCCTAATGACCTAATTTCAACTTGATTACCTTTGTAAAGACCCTATTTCCAAAGAAAGTCACATTCTAAGGTACTAGGGGTTAGGATTTTAACACAGACACACACATATATATATATATATATTTTTTTTTTTGGTGGGGGGCACAGTTCAAGCCATAACATTTGTAGATGTATGGATTTATTTTTGGCTTCTAAATTTTATTCCATTGGTCAATCTATCTTTATGCCAGTACCATACTATTTTGATTTTGTAGCAAATTTTGAAATTGGGAAATGTGCATCTTCCAACTTTGTCCTTTTTCAAGATTGTTTTGGCTCTCCAGGGCACCTTGAAATTCCATATGAATTTGAGATTTGGATTTCCCATTTCTGTGAAAAAGGCTGTTGGAATTTTGATAGGAATTGCATTGAATCTATAGATCACTTTAAGTAGTATTGACATCTTAACAATATTAAGTCTTTGTGCTCATAAACATAGGGTGTCTTTCCATTAATTTAGATTTTCTTTTAAATGTCTTTCAGCATTGTTTTGGTTAAATTTATTCCTAGGTGCTTTATTCCCTTAGGTTTTATTATAAGTGGAATTATTTTCTTAATTGCCTTTTTGGATTATTCATTGCAGGTGTTATAGAAACACAGTTGATTTTTGTTTGTTGAGCTCATACCCTGCAGCTTTGCTGAATTCATTTATTAGCTTCATTAGCTTTCTTGTGATTCTCCGGGATTTTCTATTTATAGGATGATATCTTCTGTGAATAGAGACAGTTTTACTTTTTCCTTTCCAATTTGGATGCCTTTTAGTTCTTTTTCTTGTTTAATTGCTCTGGCTAGAGCTTCCAGTGCAGTGAACAGAAGTGAAAGTCGGCATTCTTGTTTTGTTCTTGATCTTTGGGGACAGCTTTCAGTCTTTTTACATCATGATGTTAGCTGTGGGTTTTTCATGAGTACCTTTTATCATGTTGAAGAAGTTTCCTTCTGTTTCTACTATTCTGAGCTTTTTTAATCATGTAAGGGTGCTAGAGTTTGTCAACTGCCATTTCTATGTCTTTGTGTCAATTGGGATGATCATGTGTTGTTTTTCCTTTGTCCTATTAATGTGGTTTATTACATTGACTGATTTTTGTATGTTGAAACACTCTTGCATTCCTTGGGTATATCCCACTTTGTCATGATGTATAATCCTTTTAATATGCTGTTGAATCAGGTTTGCTAGTATTTTGTTGAGGATTTTTGCATGTATAGTCATAAAGGATATTGGTCTGTAATTTTCTTCTCTTGTGATATCTTTATCTGGCTTTGATATCATCATGGTAATGCTGGCCTCACAGAATGAGCCAGGAAGTGTTCTCTTCTTCAGTTTTTTGAAAGAATTTGAGAAGGATTAGTGTTAATTATTTTTTAAATGTTTGGTAGAATTTACCAGTCAAGCCATCTGATCCTGGGCCTTTTTTGCTGGTGGGACATTTTTGATTAGTGATTCAATCTCTTTACTTGTTATAGGTCTTTTGATATTGTCTATTTTTTCTTGAGGCAGTTTAGTTAATTTGTGTGTTCTAATAATTTGTCCATTTCATCTACGTTATCTAAGTTGTTGGCATACAGTTTTTGATAGCATTTTCTTATAATCCTTTTAATTTCTATTAGGTTGATAGTAATGTCCCCATTTTCATTTCTTTTACTTTCAATGATCCCATTTTATTTATGTATTCATTTTGGGGAAGGTCATTAGGCCTATTTATTTATTACTAGGAGGTTTTTTGGTTTTTTTTTTAGGATTTATTACTATTTTTTTTCCAGAAAAATGTAACAGGCTTATTTATAACTGATATAAAGTTGAACTGCTGAAACCTGTTCACTGAAACATTTTGACTCGCATTAATGCTTTATGTCCCCGCATTTATATTAAAAATTCACGTACAAATGAAAATGGAAAAACTGCCAATACCTGATTTCTGTCCCCTATTTTTCGCTTGCAATCATATACTTAGGTACATTTTGACCCCATGGGAAAAAAGTATCTAACGTTCAGAACTACCAATAATAGGAAGAAGAGTTTTTTTTTTTTAAAGAATGAAATGTTTCCCATCATAGTGGATTCTTAAGCACGTTCTCCACGTATGCCGCGTGCTAGCTGGATGTCTTTTGGCATAATTGTTACACGTTTGGCATGGATAGCGCACAGGTTGGTTTCTTCAAAAAGGCCAACCAGATAGGCCTCACTTGCCTCCTGCAAAACGCCAACAGCTGCACTCTGTAAGCGCAGATGTGTTTTGAAGTCCTTTCCCGCACCAGACGCTGGAAGAGAAGTTTGCAAATCAGTTCAGTGGACTTCTGAAAAGGTCCAGTTTCACGGAGTGCCACGGTACCAGGCCTGTAACGATGAGGTTTCTTCACCCCTCCAGTAGAGGGCGCACTCTTGTGAGCGGCTTTTGTAGCCAGTTGCTTCCTCAGTGCTTTACCACCCGTTGATTTGCGGGCGGTCCGCTTTGTACGAACCATGGTATAGAGACCTCCTTACTCACCCCTATTCTCCTTTGGCTGGAGCTCGGCAAGCTAGAGGCGGTTCTGGCGCTCTGGCGTCGGAGAGAGACGGCGGCGCGGTGGCGGCTGCTGCGAACACCGTTTTTGTTTTTTTTTAATGGAGGTACTCGGGATTGAACCCAGGACCTCATGCATGCTAAGCATGCACTCTACCACTTGAGCTATAGCCTCCCCACCTCCAATTTTCCTTTCCGATTCATGTCCAGGCTGACTTTTGAACCTGACTCCAACGTCTACCTAATTCATGACAGCTTTCCCAACTTTACCTCTGACGTCTGACCCTGGGCCCTCCTAACCCAACTACTAATTGCATCCTGTGGTAATCTCTGACTTTATTGATCCTGGTATCTGCTTGCTGACTTGGACTTCCAACAGATATTGCCTGATAGCTAACCTTGATCCTCTCTGTCCCAATGGTCTTTGACCTCCATTAACTCTTGATCTCTGGGTCCTCACAGCCATACCTTCGGCAAAGTACAAGGCAACAGCGACCTCTACTGGAAGGCGCAGCGCTACAGCCTCATCCGGGAATTTCATTCTCGGCCTGCACTGGCCCCGCCCCTTATTGTCATCTCGCACGTGCGCTCCCTCATCCGTCGATTGCGCAGGCGCCGGGCCCGCTTGCCACCTTCCCCAGGCTTAGAGCATTTTCGTGAGAGTTGGGCTTGACCCTAAAGAGAGAAACACAGTGGGCGGGACCTGGAGAGAAAGAAGAGCACGTAGCGGCTGGAGGAGGACGCCCACGAGCACTAGTGGGCAGGGCTTAGTCTGCCAGGGGGCTGGGCGTGGGATGTTAGTGGGAGGCCTAGACTGGCGCGGGGTGGGGTGGGGGTGGCCTGGGAGATCACAAAAGAGCAGTTCTGCGTGAGGAAACTGGGTCTGGGACTGCGTGTGGCCAGAGGATGGGGGGCCCTTTGACTGTATCTTGATCCTACTATCCAGGGGTCCACCTCTCGAAGGAAGCAGAGCGGAGGCTGTTGACGTGGGAGTCAGTGCAAAAGGAGAATTTCCTGCTGGCGCGTGCTCGGGAACAGCGGGAGAGCGACTCCGAACGTCTGAAGCGCACGTCGCAGAAGTGAGGGCGGGGCCTGGCGGTGGGCGGGGCTTATGGCCACAGGAGAGAATCCCACGACTTAGGTCCCGCAAAGGCGCAGGCTAGAGGCGGAGCCTGAAGGGGCAGGGTCCCGGAACTCTAGTGAGGAAAGGGGACCTCCAGGGGGCGGGCCTTCCAAGGTGGGCGGGGCCAGTAGGCTGCTGGCGCAGACTTGAAACCCTGGATCTCCAGGGTGGACACAGCACTGAAGCAGCTGAGACAGATCCGCGAGTATGAGCAGCGTCTGAAAGGGCTGGAACAGGAGGTGAGAACCTGGGCCAGGCTGGGTGGATATGGCTGGGGTGAAGGACAGTAGGGTTCCGGTCTGGTGTTCTGATATCCCCCCTGCTCTCCAGGTCCAGCACTGTAACCGTGTCCTGGGCTGGGTAGCTGAGGCCTTGAGCCGCTCTGCGTTGCTTCCCCCAGGGGGTCCGCCGCCCCCAGCCCCGCCTGGGCCCAAAGGTCAGTGTGTAGGTCTACCTGGGTGTATCTCCAGCCTCTGTCACTGCCTACGTCTCTTTCCCTGCTTTCCAGGTCTCTGTTCCCATATCTCTCTGAGTCTTTTTCACTTTTACTGCCCTCCTTTTGTCCCTGGTTCACTCTCGGTCTCCTTTGGGCTTATCGTGCATCCTTCTTTTTCGCCGGTCTCTTATTTTTTCTGTCCTCCTCTCCATGCCCACCACCTGTTCTCCTCTCTTCCTCTAGATTGAGTCCTGCTGGTGGACTTCAGTGAAGAGCCGCCATAGGGAGTTTTTCTCCCAGAGTAAGGCCTAGCAGATCCTTGACCTCTCGCACCTGGCCACTTTGTCCATGAGGTGAACCTGGGCTGCTGTCAGGACCACTGCAGGCCTGGCTTCTTCCAGAACCAGCTCCACTCTGGGAGGATCAGCCTCTGGGGCCCAAGTATTGCCCCTCTGAAGGCTGTACCACAGCCTGCTGGGCTGGAGAAGGCTGCAGGGTCTTTGGGGTACAGGGACCAAAGGGCCCACTCACAGCTCCCCACCCTGGGGAAATAAAGCCATTTGAGAGGAGTGGGGTCTGGATTCGTGATTCTCTGGGAACTGGTGGGTGTCTAGATCCTTTGGGGATGGGGCTGAAACTGAGGATGTGTTTGGGGTCCTTGGTCTGTTTGCTGCTGTATTGCAGATATTTCTGGGGCTGTTTCCTCCTCTCAGGCCCACTATTGCTGTCTGACTTGGGCGCAGCACTTCTTGTCTGCACTATTTTGATGGCTGTTACTTCAGTGGGACAAGAGCCCCAACCATCTGCACCCCCCACTCATTCCCACTTAGCAGTGGAAAAAGAACTCAGTGATAAAAAGCAAATTATTTCCTGGAGTGGGGGTGGGTGGGCGCTGTGTGCATCTGCTTGGCAATAGGGGAACAGATGATGCAAATTTGAGTAGATAACTGCATATGTGTCTTTAAAAAGTCTAATTAGTGGAAAATTGCAGGCCACGCGCGCACAGAATTGAGGCAAATATGCATCATTATACATGCAGTTTAACTAAACAACCCATAACAAACTAAACTGGTAATGAAAAGGCTGAACTGACAGCAATTATTAGTAAAATAGCAGGAAAGCCACCAACAACCAACACATCCAAAAATGAAAACCAAAACATCCTTTTTCCAAATTGGAGGAATTCCAACTGTCTGCCACTTTGGGTGCAGAGTAGCTTTGAAACGTTGCCAAGTGTTGTGTGGCAACCAGATTTCTCTAGAAGATGCTGAATCAATTCTTCTAACCCAAGGAGTAATAATAACAGTAAGGATGATGGTGGCAATGACAAACAACAGCTAACACAGGGTGCTATGTGCCTGGCATTGGGTTAAGTGCTTCACGTGCTAAGCCAATGAATTCTTATGACATTAGTACCTACCTTATATTCTCAACCGTATAAGGTAGGTACCAATGTCTCCATTTTGCAAATAAGAAAACTGAAGCACAGATAAGTGACTCACACAAGGTCACACAGCTGGAAAGTGGCCAAATTTGAATAGAAATCTGGGCAATCTGGATCCGGAGCCTTTTTGTATTTAGAAATGCTAAATACTGCAAAGCTTTAGGAATTCACTCAGTGGGCACGCTGGCTTATTAAACTGTTGTCTCTCAGCTGCAAATCTGGTCTTCTATATATATCCTCTGCTCTGTGTTACTCTGGCATGCCACGTGTTTCTGCGGCTGGGTTCCTGTTAGATTCTGCCTAAAGGGGGCGCTAGAGGGAGACCAGCTGGAGGAGGGAGAAGGGACTTGCTGCTTCCTATTGGTTCTTGAGCGTAGTCACAGAGCAGTGTCTTGTCTGACAGCACCAGTGGGTTGCAGTTTTCAGCTCTTTTACCCCCCAGCACTGCCAGAACAAGTTTGATGGATGCACTCGGGCACAGCCGCTCCATCCAGGCAGCCCGTTTTTCTAGCGTGGGTTTCAGCTCTGCAGGGGCACTTAAGATTTTAGGTTCTGATAACGCGATTCTCTTCCTTTGTCTCTCTAGTCATCGGGGTGACAATCGGCTTCATGCGGTTTACTATTTCTCTGCTAACTCTGTGCTTCTGTTTCTTTCCCAGTTTTCTGAGACTCATTTAATTTATCTGAGACTCTTGAATTGATTTATCTCTGCTGAAATATCTGTATAACAGGAAAACTCCAGGTCTGGCAGGTAGAAATCTGACATGAGTCATCAAAATGGAGAGGTACAACCTCCACTTCATTTCCACATATCATTTTCAAACCGAACGTCCCTTAACTGAAGAGAAGTCTAGGTGCTCTAGAAGAATTACAAAATACTACCATTAGCTTATATTCTAAATCTTTCCTACTTGTATGTTTTCTTACAATGAACCGATTTCACTCCTCTCTTGCAGAGCCCTAGTGCTGGGTATCCTGACCCCTTTGCATGACAGTTGGTGGCCACAAAGGAAAATTCCCCACTTGTCCTGGTGCTGACATTTGGAAGCCACATAGTTTAACTGGGCCATCCCAAAGGTAGATGATATTCCCTCTTAGGACTCATGGCAGGTCACCAGCAAGGCCAGTAAGTGATTAGGTATCCATTAACTAAGAGTGAGCAGCGTAGCCATGATCTGCTCGTGTAGGGTCCTCTGGAGGGGCTGCTGAGGGTGTGGGACAGCTTTGGCGTTCACTAGCCTGCGATCCAAAAGAACCTCTAGGGTATCTGCTCCAGCCTCAGATGTGGGGAAGGGGGAGTGACCATCAGTAGAATATGTAAGCCACTAAAATTCTAAACAAGCAGGTCATTTGAAAGAGAGATGCATTTTATACAAAAAAGAAAATCCCAGATAAGAGACTGCAGGTCGTCAGAAAAAAGGAGGCAGCAGGGTGGAGTGAGGACTCAAGAATGCAGGTGCTTTGGGACTGACGGCTGAGGAACCCATATATTAGAGGGACAAGTGGGGCTAGAGAAGACAGCTGTAAAGGCTGCTCAAAGATGCATCCAAAAACTAGAATGGGTTTGGTAGCTCCTGTGGAGCAAAGACTTAGACGAGCCAAGGGGCTGATACGCAAACCTAGATTGAATTCGAGAAAACTGGGTATTGGACGTCTGTTTTTTGTTTTTCTTACGTAAATACCTAAGATTGGGGTGTCTGGGTTGTATAATAAGTGTGTGTATAACTTTATCTGCAGCTGCTCAACTCAGCTAAGTGGTTGCATCCTTTGCATTTTGCACCTCCACCTGCAGTGTGTGAGGGGATTTCCGTTACTCTGCATCATCACTAGCACTTGCTGTTATCAGTGTTCTAAATTAGCCGTTCTTGTAGTGGTGTCACATTGTGGTTTTAATTTGCACTTCCCTAATGATTAATGATGTTGAGCATCTTCTCATGTGCTTATTGCCATCTGTATCGCTTTTTTGGCAAAGTCTCAGTTCAGACCTTTTACTCATTTTAAAAATGGGTTGTTTTCTTACCACCACATTGTAAAATTTAATATATTCTGGATATTCCTTTACCAGATTTGTATTTTGCAAATATTTTTCTCTCAATATGTAGCTTACCTTTTCATTTTCTTAATAGTGTCTTTTGGGAAAACAGAATTTGTAAATTAACAATGAAATTTTATCAACCTTTTTTTATGGTTGATGCTTTTGTTGTCCTGAGAAATCTAATCCAAGGTCACAAAGATTTTCTCCTCAGAGTTTTATAGTTTTAGGCTTTACATTTAAAGCTGCAATCTATTTTGAGTTCATTTTTATACAGAGTAATGTTAGAGCAAGGCTTTTTATTTTGCACATGGGTAGTTTAATTTTCAGCACAATTAGTTGAAAAGACTGTTTTTAGCTCCGTTGAATTATCTTAGCACATTTGTTGAAAATCAGTTGACCAGTCAATTGACCATATATGTGTGGATCTATTTCTGTGCTCTCTGTTCTGTTCAGTACACATATATATGTGTGTATCTTTTCACCAGTACCATACTGTTTTGATTACTGTAGCTTTATACTAAATCTTGAAATCAGGTAGTGTGAGTCCTCCAACTTTGCTTTCCCTTTTCAAAATTGTTTTAGTTATTTTAATTCCTTTGATTTTGTAATATAAACCTTGGAATCTGATTGTCAATTTCGCTAAACAACCCATTGGGATTTTGTTTGGGATTTTGTTGAATCTACAGATCAATTCAAGGTGATTGACATCTTAATGAACCCTGTATATCTCTTGATTCGGTTAGGTCTTCTTTGACTTCTGTCATGAATGTTTGTGGTTTTCAGCATACAGTTCTTGCACATATTTTGTTGGATGTATTCCTATATAGTATGATGGTATATATGATACTGTTTAAATTTTTTAGAATTTCTAATTGCTTATTGCTAGCATACAGAAATACTGCTTATTTTGTATATTGACCTGGTATTCTGCGACTTTCCTGAACTGACTTTACTAGTTCTAGTATCATTTTTGCAGATTGCTTAGGATTTTTTATGTCATGCTGTTTGTAAATAGAGGCGCATTTATTTCATCCTTTCCAATTTGTATTTTTTTAACTGTGGTAAAATACACATAATATATAACATTTACCATTTTAACCCTTTTTAAGTGTACAATTCAGTGGCATTTAGAACATTCACAATGTTTATATATATATATACACACACACATATCTATATACATATGTTTATTGAAGTATAGTCAGTTTACATAGAACATTCACAATGTTGTACAATCATTACCACCTTCTAGTTCCAGAAGTTTTCACCACCCCACACAGTAACCTTATACCCATTAAGAACTCACTTCTCATTCTCTCTGCCCCCAGCCCCTGGCAACCAACAATCTGCTCTCTATCTCTATAGATTTACCTATTCTTGATGTTTCGTATGAGTGGAATAATTAAATATGTGGTCTTTTGTGTCTGACTTCTTTCACTTAGCACAGTGGTTTATCCACGTGGTAGCAGAACTTCGTTCCTTTCCATAGCTGAGTAATCCCCATAGTATGAATATATAACTTTTTAAAATCCATTCATCCATTGAAGGTCATTTGGGTTGTTTCTACTTTTTAGCTATTGTGACTGATGCTTCTGTGAATGTTCACATAAAAGTTACTGTTTGAACACCTGTCTTCAGTGTTTCAGGTATTTAACTCAGAGTGTAATTGCTGGTAATTCTACGTTTAACTTTTTGAGGACCTGCCAAACTGATTTTCACAGTGGCTGCACCATTTCACATTCCTGCCAGTGATGTATGAAGTTCCAGATTCTTCAAATCCACACCGACATTTGTTATTTTCCTTTCTTTGGGGGGAGGTTATAGCTATCCTTGTGGTGGGTATGAAGTGGTATCTCATGGTGAGGTTGATTTGCATTTCCCTAGTGACTAATGATATTGAACTTCTTCCCATGTGCTTTTTGGCCATCCACCTTTGGAAGGAACAGCTTCTTGGTAATGACCTCCACTGCTTGTGTAGCATTGCCTACCATCCAATCAGGGTTAACTAAGGATGGCTGGGTCTCGAATGAAGACAAAAATGAAGGCCCTGCTATCCAAGTCATCATCTTGAGGACTGCCTGGGCTTAAACAGACATTCCATAGCTTAGAAAAGACACTGTTGGTCCTGCAGTTTCCAGCTACAAAGGATGTTCAACAAGGGTCAGCCTTTGTGGCTCTTGGAGACAGTATATCCCTTGGGTGGAAATTTCACTAAAGCTGATTTTGTGGTTCCTGGCTCAAGCATGTTCTTCAAGCAGGAAAAAAATCACCTGAATTCAACTGACAAGGCTCATTGTGGAGGAAGGGAAGCTGACGTGACCTTGCAGGGTAGGGGCTTGAGCCAATTCAGTGTGCTGCTGTGGCTTCTGCTGTTGAATATATAATTGGTATTGATGTTTTATGTGTTCATACTGTGATTGTCCCATAAGCATCAGGGGATTCTCCCATCCAGAGACTGTAGCATGTGTGGTCCTCTCCATGGCAGACTATAGAAACAAGTGAGCATCCCAGGAGAAGGGGAACTCACAGCTCTGATAACTTAATGGCTGTGGGAATACGCAGAAGCCATTTCCCAGTACAACAGCACCACCTGCCTGACGCAGCCCGTACATACACCCCTTTGGAGAAAACGCTGCTATTAATTGCTATTCAGGCTCTGTTGAGAGGGACTGCCTTGTGACTCCCTGGCCTGACATCTCCATTTTGGGGTAGGTCAACTTGAACTTGACAACCAGTAAGGTCTGAAATGGTTAGATGAAAATGGTATGTTCAAGAGCACAGCTGGGCTGGTCCTCGGGTCATCTCAGTTTCGCCATGGAGAAGTAGCGGCTTTCCCTTCGGAGGAAACTTTATCCCCTACCCCCCTGCAAAGCTGCTGGCTCGTCAGCGGGGCCCTCGATTTACAGAGGTTCCCATAAGTGACCGGGCCTGGTTCACTGCTGGTTGGGCTGAGTAAAAAGCTGGTGATGCCCACCAGGGTGCAGCAGCCATCCAACCCCAGCTCCAACCTTGGAAGACAGACTGCAGTAAATGGCTAGTTAAGGTGTTGGCTGGGACTTCCTAGTTTCCCTCCTATCCACGTGCATCTGGTACTATTGATGGTTGGAAGTATCTCCTAGAAAATCAGCTCAAAAAGATTTCTGACTCTACCTTCTTCCCTCCTCCTGGTCCACGCAGCTTGGCCAGTTTGATCACCGCACAGGTGTTCCCAGAGAGGCTTCATCGCCTCCTGGATAACAATCTCCTGAGATCTAAGCTGAGGGGAGTTATATAGACCATCTTGAAAATTTAGGATTCTGCTCCCTCTGACCATTCTGGGGTCACCTTTCTTTCTGTGGGACAGCTTGGTGGCAACACCTTCTGCGTGGCCACCTGGCCCAAAATGGGCCCATGAGGGGGTTGAAACTAAATTCTGGTTTAGTCACTGGCATTTTCTTGCAGGCCTGACTTGGCCCTAGATCAGGTGTTGGCAAACTACTAGTGGTGCAGGATAAATCTCGCCTGTGAGCTAAGAATGGTTTTTACATTGTAAGAGTCATAAAAACCAAGTAACAGAGTACAGTCGCCTTC